TTTACAATTTTGAGGCAAAGAAAACAAGAAAATTTGCTGGTTGCCCTCTCCGGAAGGCTAAATTGTAGCGAATAATGAGACAGCATGAGAATGTTCATTCAATGGACTCACAACAAAAAAACATGGTTCAGTATGGAAAGCGCCAAACAAATTGTGATTCAATAGTTGCACAGGGTACGTTTGCAACTGCAAATGTGCAGAGAACATCCCGGTAATACAAATATACGTGTATTCAAACAGACCCCGGAAGCGTAGTTTAATTCTCCCGAGCTTGAGCCTTGATTTTGTAAAATGTAAGTAGAATTATTAATACAAAAAAATTAACTTACTTTTTTAAAATGTGTAACGGAGGGTGCTTGGCCCTGTTCAATCCTCGCCTTTTTTGGCTAATTTCTGGCGTGCATTATGAGAAAACTCCCTAAAGGCTAATGCAGTTCAAGTTCTTGATGTTGCGGGAATTTGACTAACTCTGTGCACGCAGAAGTAATATATAATGTTTGCATATCATGACAGTTGGATACACAACCATTACAAATAAAATGTTCAGTGTGAAATGAATCACATACGCTCGACTGTTGAGAGATTGTTGAAAGTCAGCTTCTATATGAAATTCCATTTGCATTCAGCCTTAAGCGAAACTTGGGGCCTATAAGCATGACTGTGACATTATATGAGATAAGCGGATGGAAAGGAGAACCTAGAAAACTTGGCAGAGCAACCCTTGATCAGAAGGAGGCCAGCCGCATACGAAGCCTTCGAATTGAAGTGATTCGAAGTGCGAAAAGCTGGTTCAACTCGGAAACAAGTGGCAGAAAGCTGATGGAGCACAACGTTAAAGTACGAATTTCATTTGCTAATCTGGTTGCATAAGGCTCTTTTCCATGTATTTAGGTAGATGTGTCTGTAGCAAGTCGCCCTGTTTCGTACTTCAAATACTTCGTCGGACCTCCGGAGCTGGATCTTGCCTACTATGATGGCCCTTCTTCGAACCAGTGTAACCCAAAAGTCGAATGTTGCCTTATTCCTCATTATGTCAACTTTACCGAAATAGGTCAAGTCAGAATTTGAATGATTGTACGCTCAGCCACCAGGCGTACTACATGCCACTAAAATCCTAGTATTTTAGGATGGAGTAAATTCATAATGTATCCGGCAGGGTTTTACGCTAATTACTGTATAGGACCCAAACATCTCACTTGCCCGCACGATGATCCTGAAGTGGAAGGAATATTGAGGTAAGACTTTTATTCAAATCAACTGATTTTATCGAACTGTAGATTTCTGAGTCACTGCTAGGCTTTTTGACGTC